TTCTAAAAGAACTAAACAAACCTTCTTTCTCTCAGGTAATGTCATTCTTGCCTCATAAAACAACAATTGCTGTAAGGCTTTTACGAGACATGCCTCAACCTTTTCCTTTAGTTTTCTTAATCAATGGCACAAACTGAACAAGTAGGAAGCAATGGCACTTGTCTCTGTTGGAAATTATCCGACGTCTTTTATGGGGTATGGAAGTTAAGAAGTGAGTTTGTTATGAGCAATAAAAATGGGAAAAATAATGATAACTGCTCTTATGGCAGCCATAGAGAATAAAACTCACTTTATAGGATGAAGTAATCAGAGAATGCTTTATGGAACAGAGAAATGAAAGACTGCATTATGAAATAAAAGATGAGAAAGGAACAAAAGCTTGCTTTATGAGGATGCTGGTGGTGCTAACAAAAAACAAATAGGCAGTTTCATCTCACAAGAACACAAAGTGAATGTCTGAATGCCTTGTGGGAGGGAGAGAGTTAGGGAGAGGGGAGGGATGGAGACTGAATGGTTATCATAAGTAGCATGATTTTTATTTCATTTTTTTTTTTTTTTTTTGTTTAAAACTTTGGTTTTGAGATGAAAAATGTGCTGACTGATGCAGTTTAGTTGGCTGGGTGTAAAAAGATTGTTACCAAGATAGAGAAATAGAATATGATTCATGATAAAAAGCATCACATCTACACTAATAATAATAATGATAATATTAATAATACCAGATGCCAGACCTGACACCATCACCACTGCTACTATGGTACAGTCACTGCCTTTTCTGCTTTACTATTATTATTATTATTATTATTATTATTATTAATAATAATAATAATCAATGGCAAGTCAATCTTAAGTAATATATCCAGATGACAATGTGTTGATGGCTGACATGGAAAGAGAACAGTAGGACATCTGAGATAGGGTTGTAAAAGAAAGCGAGAAGATGGACTAACCGCTAATTGCAAGAAGGCAAATAGTATCATCATCATTTTCTTACATTCTCATTATATTTGGTTGCATTCTCATACTGTCACAGTCATTGTCAAGAAATGTAAGTGATCAGTATATTAAGCAAAATGTATATGACAAAATTCCTGCATTTTTAGATTTGCTGGAATTAGATTTTAAGTCAGTTAAAGATTTGCAACAGGCAAATAGAAAAGCATTTATATATGCTTTTTTTTATATATATACTTCAACACATGATGTCCCATAAAGAAAGATATTTTCTGTAATGTTGGTTGCTTCCTCTATAAATAGTTTTTTCTCTGCAATGAGTCCTCCTATATAACATTTTGGTATTATCTGCCAAAATTTGTCCTATGTTAATATTATTTTGGTTATCTGCAATGTGCTGATCCATATAGATAAATATATATTTATTTATATATTTATCAAGTATTTATTGGTCTGAATTTGAATTCTGCTCCTCTTTTCTGTTTTCATAGTATTAACCATTTCCCTTTCAGACCATCTTGGTCTCATTTGACTTATACAATTTAGAAGGTAGTTAACTTGTATCAATAACTCACAAACTGAATTTAATATTAAGTTATATTTTAAACTGATAATGTTTAGATATAAATTCAGTTTGGAAAGTGTTTATAATCACTAGGTGACAGGTCATCTTATTAAAGGTAGGGTTAGGGTAAGGAAACTTCATTCAGATGTTATGAGTGGTTATAAAATTTACCTGATTTGACTGAGATTTTTAGAAATTGGAGAAAACTTTCTTAGAATTTAGTTGGTTATTTTCTCGTGTTATTCTTTTAATTAGCTTATTTTAATTAAATACTTTAAAACTGAAAAATATTATTAATTTTTCTCACAATGTAAAATTTGATCTTACAAATTGAAATTATAACTTATTATGTAAAAATAAACTTGACATTTAGGCCATCCTAAGAATACTAGAAGTCCTGTCAGGATTTATTATTATTGACACAAAATAAGATATGCAGATGACAATGTGTTGTTGGTAGATAGAAAAAGAAAACTAGGGGAACTCTTAGACAAGGTTAGTAAAGGAAACTTGAAAAGAAAGGACTAATCATAAATTGTAATAAGACAAAATGCATGGTCATTAGCAAGTGGAACAGCTTAATATGCGAGCTATGAAGTGGAGGAGACAAAAATTAAGCAAGTACAGAATTTCCAATATCTGGAAAGTGTTGTAACAGATAAGAGAATATGTTGCATAGAAATCCAGAGGTACATTGCAATAGCAAAAGTGTTTTTCAAAAGCTAAGCAAAGTATTAAGAAACAGAAAAATTTCATTAAAAACAAAAAAAAGGAAATGAACTGTTATGTAATATCAATCCTTCCATCTTCCAGGTGGACATTTTTCTCATAGTTAAAGAGGATAATTGAAGTGACAGTGATGTCGTTTTACAGAAGGATGTTGAGAATACAATGGTTGAAGCATGTAAAAAATGAAGAGGTTTTAAGTAAAATGGAAATGAAAAAGAAACTTATACTTAGAATCAGAAAGTGACAATAGAACTTTCTTGGAACCTAATGAGAAAAGAAGGCTTGTAAAATTTGACACTCACCTGGCATACTGAAGGGAAGAGAGAGAGGGAAACAGTGAGTCATATATTTAACGAGTTTGTGTAGATGAAGGGCATAACAGTGACTAAGAGAAATTAGAGCTACAAAGCGCTACAAAGCACTGGAAGTTGTGGAGAGCTATGATTGTACATGTTTTGAAGTGACACAGAAAATAAAGGACATTTCATCAGCATTTCTATCATAGAATCTACCTCCAAGCAGTAACTTTCTATTGCATTAAAAAAATATAATATTAATAATGTGACTTAACATTTGTGGCAATAATGAAGAGATCTAAATAATTTGTGATGAAAAATAAGTGTCATATTTTGCATTTTTGTGGATGTGGGCCCTGCCGTAGAATGATGCTTAACAAATAAACCTCACAAATCCATTTATTAGTACAGTGATTGTGATTCTCACTGGGTGGCTATGAGAGAAAAAAAACATGCTTAGTAAGCACCTTAACAGTATATAAAAGTAAGTCATTCTATGCCTATCGGCTAGTAAGTGTGAAGGCCATCTTTGTTTCCACTCATCCACTACCCTGCCTGCCTGGTCATTTTCCAAAGTATACAGTTGAACCTTGTTTAACCACCTGGAATGCATTCAAGACAATTACACAGTCCACTTAACAGCCAGAAAATGCTCACTCATCCAAAAGTGATGTTGCCAAATAGATTACATTTCATGGAATGACATCTCTTCTCCAAGAAGCTCAAGGTCTGGAACTGAAACAATGCATAAATATTTAAATGGCAGATTGAATTATTAAAAATCAGTAAAAATAGTTGAACTCTTACAGATATTTGGTTCATGTTAAATTCATTGACACAAGTAATGAAATGGGCTTGAACTAATATTAAGAAATAAATAATATAAATGAAAACTGTAGTTGATAATTTTAAAATATTGTTGTTTTGGGTATTTTTTAATCATTTCATCCCAAGCAAGATGATAAAGCCACTAAGCCATAAGAGTTTACTGAATATTAGAGAATATGAGAATAATATACTATTAAGAAGAAAGGGCAATAAAAGAACAAGAGTTAACAAGATAACAATTGACATTGCATTTAAAATTTTGAAGAACAAAGTTGACTAGGAAGCAAGAAATTGGAAACAAGTTCCAAAAGTGAGAAGTGTGATAGAGAAAACTGTTATCATAAAACTTGTGGTTACATATAGCTAATTCTAATGTAAAATGATGAGACCTTGACACCAATCTAGTGTTATGCTTAAATTCAAAGAGTCTGGGTACCATAGAGGAAAGCTCATCCAAACAATTACCATGAAAGGAATTTATAGAAAAGACACAGGTAAGTTACGTTATGGTGGTGGGAAATTGACTGGACGGAAGATGTCATGACAAAACCAGTAACACTGCAGATTTTTCTTTGGATTTTTATCAAGAATCTCTAAATATATAGCAGGTGCACCAGACCAGATGTGGCAGCAAAATTCAAAGCAAGAATGAATGGTAGATTTATAAATATGTAAGATAGATTCTGTGAAGAAAAATTGTCTAGCACTATACAGAACCAAATTTCCTAGCTGCAGGCCTAGCAATTGATTCAATATAATCTTTCCACTCCATGTCAGCAAAAAATGTTACTCTGAGTAGTCACAATGAGTTATTTTAAAACCAGTTTTATGATATCATCATCTATATGAGTTATGTATGATGTTATGTGAATAATTTTATCAATTTTTTTTTAATGGCATATCCTTTTCCAACATGGTCCTCCACAGATTCCACCACTTTATTATCTGTGAATTGTTTTGCCTTCTTGGAAAAGATAGTGGAATGGTTTTCTGGTTACCTTCTCAATAGTTTGGAATTCAAAATTTTCTTTATTGTAGACTGGTTGTAACCCAAGGCTAGAACAACCAGTCTACATTGCTATTTAACCTATAGGTGGTAGAAAGAGAAGAGATGAATCCATGACTTTACCAAGTATATTAGTGCGAAAGGGAATGCAAAATGAACAAGGCCAGAATTTAAACTCAGCTTGCAGATTCTCCTCTCTTTTGAACCAATAACCTTTAAACTAACTTCATATTTAATTTCTTTTTTCCTACATTTTATATTACCAATAAGTGATAATAAGATTTTCATCTACATTTGAAATTGTAGTTCAGATAGATAGATAGATAGATAGATAGATAGATAGATATGAATAGACTCAAGCCATGTCACTCACCAGGTTATGCAGTTGGGAAAATAAAAGATTCTTTGTTAAAAAAATGTAAATAATTTTCCATATTAAAATAACACAGAAAAATTTGGGAATTTTCAGTATTTTTCTGTTCTATGTTCACACCTGCATCTGATTTATATAAAGTTACATGTAGAAGACTGACTGCAGATGGATATGGGCCATGTGTTTGATTTATGGTGTGAGACAGACTGCAGCCAAGCCTGATTGGCCAAATGCACAGCTGTGGAACCAATGCCAGGTTGCAGCACAGAAGGCAGTGGTGCAAAGCAAATCATTACTGAGGTTACAATGCTGGCACAAAAGTCATTACTCTTTCTCTCTCTCTCTCTCTCTCTCTCTCTCCCTCCCTATCTTTTTCTCTCACCCTTCCTCTTTCTTTTCTCCCTCCCTTTTTCAGTGGTTTTTGGTCAGGCTGAAAATTTTTGTTTCCACTCTGTGTTGAGCTATCCCTTTGTATATGAGTATTTCGATGTGAATTTCATTTCCATGTGTGGCTCTATTTTTAATGCTTAGATATGTTAACCTGATTATTTTCCCATCTTTTCTCTATTTCATGTATGTCTCATGATAAATAGATAGATATATAGACAGATAGATACATATATATGAACAGAGTGAGATTACATACAGATAGATAAATAGCTAGATAGCTAACTAGCTAGATAGATCGATGAAGGAACTTTGATAGATAGATATAATCTTCTTCTTTATCAATACATTCATTTCAGCCATGAATATTAACCTCATGGATCAGATATTATACAGAGAGAATCTAAAATTAAAATTTAGGCAATATCGCTGTCAGGTTACAAAATAACTGATGACCCACCAAATAAATCTATAACTTCTTAACATTTGTGCAGATTAAAATTGACTGGAAAGCATGGAGCCAGGAGGAAGTTCCACATGCAAGAAGTTTAAGAGAAGAAACTGTTAGCATAGAATTTACATCTAGATAGCTCAACAGTAAATTGATTAGATCTCAACATCAGTCTAGTACTGCGCTTAAATTTAAAAACTCTAGGTGCTATACTGAAGAGCTCATTCGAACAATTATCATGAAAGTATTTATAGAAAATACATTGAAAGGCAACCTTATGATGGTGGGAAAATGACTGGTGCTGAGCTGACAAATTAGGATCAATAATATTACAGATTCTTCTTTGGATCTTATCAAGGAACTCAAATTAAATAGCAGGGGCACCAGACCATATGTGGCAGCAATATTCTAAGTATGGGCGAATTGTAGACTTATAAATATATAAGATAGATTCTAGAGTGAAAAATTGTCTCGTCTGATATAGTGAATTAATTTCTTAGCAGCTGACCTAGTAATGAATTTAATATAGTCTTTCCACTTCATATCAGCATTTATGTTAACCCAAGAAAGCTCAATGTGTCATTTTCCTGGAGGATAACAACAGCCATGCTGATGTAAGGAAGCAAGGGGTCTCTCAGATGATTAATGGAGAGAAGTTTAGTTTTGGAGGCATTAAAATTAACAATCCATCTTTTGCCCCAGTTAACTAGAGATTTGAGGTCATTTTGGACATTGGCTGCCATTTTAGTCTTGTCAGACTAATAAGCCTTCCTATCAAGGCAGGAGTAAATTGTTGTATTATCAACATAGATACCAAGTTGAGAGCTTATGTCATCAGGAAGGTCATTAATAAAAATTAAAAATAGAGTAGGTCCAAGGATTGATCCCTGGGAGGGGACAACTGCATTAGTATGAAAGGATCTAGATGAATGGCTGTTCAGGATAACTCTTATTTCATGACTAGCAGCATGGCTCAGCATTGTCCATGCTTGATTCAAAAATCGTACAACTCATACAGCAATTGCTATCACTTGACTTAAAATATTTTTGCCCTTCCTTGCCTTTAAAGGAGTGCCCTTTGCTGTGCTGATGTTGCTACATGCCTTACTTCTTGCCTATCTCACACTGCAAATTTTTTCTAAGCTCTATACTAAACATTAAATCTGTTACGAAAAAAGAACTAAACCAAATGAACACAAAATGATCAGCTTTAAAAAAGGACTCGTAACTGGAAAAACCGAATGAAAAAAGAATGTTAACAACAAACACTTTTTCACACCCAACCCAGTTCTACGGAATCAGAATCAACATTGAGTTTAAGCAAGCGAATGAGCCAATTGGAGTAAAGTGCCATGCAGATTTAAATTTTTCCCACATGTGACGAATGCAGCTATCAATGCTAGTTAACATTCATGTCAGTCAGCTGTTGGCTCTCACACTGGCCAATAGAATCTTCCTGCCTATTCATGGCAGCCAGCTATAGGCTCTCACTCTGGCCAGTAGAAAATGGCTGCAAACTACATGAAAACTGCTGTAGAAGCATGAAAAAATCGATTATTTCCACTATCAATGGGAGTTGGGAAATGCAAAGTTGGTCTTGGCCTTCCCGCTAACTTGGAGCATGTGCATGTAAATTTTGGTGTAAATCCATCAAAAAATGCTGCCATGCATTCGTTACACACACACAAACACACACACACACATCCTGCCTTTTATAGATAGAGATTTGATAGGAAAAACTGGATCAGTTCAAAAAAGTGTCTGGAGACACTGTAACTTTTCTGCTTGTGGAGAAGACCTGAATGCCAGAACCTGTCAAAGGCTTTCGAGATGTCCAATCCAACAGCCTGGGCTTCAGTGTTTTTATCTAGAGCATGATAAACTCTTTCTGCAAATATCACCAGTTGACCTGGAGAAATGAAGGCTATATTGCTTGTCTGAGAAAAGGCCCTGCAATGAGAGATGATGAAACAATTCAGTATCGATTAAGACCTCTAGGAGTTTCCCAAAATTAGTTAGAAGACTAAGAGGCCAATAGTTGGAAGAGTCGGAGGGCTCACCAGAGTTCTTAAAACTGGAACAACAGGTGATGACTTCCAACAGACAGGAAAGCAGGATATATATATATATATATATATATATATATATATATATATATATATGACCTCAAGTATGTGAATAATTTTAACTACCTAGGCAGTAAAGTGAATGCAAGTGTAACTCTGGATGACGTAATTGTGAATAGAATTGCAAAAGCGGCTAACGTTTGGAAAACTACGTCACCGTCTTTGGAATGACAGGGGTATTCGTCTTGTGACAAAAATCCACGTGTACAAAGCAGTTGTCCTCACTACTCTTTTGTATAGATCAGAGGCCTGGACCCTGTATTGTAAGCAGATTCAGCAATTAGATGTCTTTCACAAAGGATGTCTCCGAGCAATCTGTGGACTAACCCTGCAGGACAAAAAATCCAATGCCGACCTTCTAACGATGTGTAACATTGACAGAATTGAGAGCTTCCTTATGAGGGCACAGTTACGATGGGCCGGTCATGTTGTACGAATGCAAGATGGTAGAATTCCAAAGATTCTCATGTACAGCCAGCTTGAAGGTAGTCAACGGAATGTTGGCCGACCCTTGCTCAGGTTTAAAGATAAGTTGAATAGTAAGCTAGCAGCTGCAAATATTGCACATACTGATTTGGAGAATACTGCCTTGGATCGCAAAGCTTGGAAAAGTGTAACTTACACTGGAATCAGGAATTTTTTTTCGGTGTGGCGTTGTCAAGCTCCGTGAAGCAAGAGAAAGGAAAAAAGCCTCAGAAGGTGCCAGAGAAGTGCACCCTCTTTGCTCACACGCTTTCCCAATCTGTGGTTTTCTTTGCAAGTCATTAGCAGGTCTGAAATGTCACTCTAGATTCAAACATAAAGGTCATTAAAAGTTGTCGGAACCTCATACGTCGAAATCAACGGGAGAGTCCATCATATATATATATATATATATATATATATATATAGTGTGTGTGTGTATATGTGTGTGTGTGTGTGTGTGTGTGTTCAGTCTGTCAGTACTTATTTCTCTCTCATCCTTGGTGCTCACATTTAGCTTTCTTGTCAGTGCATAAAATAAAAATAAACACCAATTTTTATCTTTCTAATGTTTGATACATGACCCATATAGATGCTAATTTGTCCAAAATGATCATCGTTTTATCTCTTTGGTGTTGGCTTTTGTTAATAACATCTAAAAATTAATTCATTGAAATCATTTTTTTCATTCATGCATTAAAAATATTAAAAAATCGAATTTTTAAAATTAAAATTTCTCATTTCCATTTTTATAAAAGGCGTTCTTTTTCAAAAATCCTTTGATCCCAATTTTATGAGTCATTCTTGTTTTTTTCTTTCTTCATAAATCAATTTTGATACGCATTTTTATGGGGTCATCAGTCTTCCACTTTGATTTTACATAACAATTTCAACACTATCCCCATTACTGTAACGGTTATTTACAAAGGTTAGTCAGGTCTGGCTCAAGGCTCCAATAATAGAGCACTAAGTGAAGATTAGCCAATCTATGGGTTTCAGTTAGTCTCAAAGGACAACTCTGAATTTCAAACTGTTAAGAAGGCAGTGGGAAACGACTCCATGATCTTCCACGTGAAGTTATGTCAATTTACAAATAATAAAGAAAATGAATCTGTGGAAAATAAGGATTACCTATGTTCTGATGGGTAATAAGTAATTAAAAATAAAGAGAGAAATTAAGTCAGTGTACAATAGTTTGTGTATATACATCTATAATATTCTGTTAACCTTCTGTTAAGTAATGGTTAAAGAGCTAGACTCACAGACTATTCACCATTGAACTGGGTCATCCTTTACTGCAAGACATCTGTTATACTAAGCTATACCTGTTAAATATCCATACAAAAATATTTACTCACTCATAAATATTTGAACATCTATTTTTTACAAAAACTGTAACATATACCAAACTGATATCAAAGTATTTGTATGCTTGGTATCATTATCATCAATCCGACAACTAGGTGTGGTCATAGTATCACCGTGTAATTGAGCACTTGACCAGTTCTCTTCATATGTTTTGGTTGCCTGCCAATATCTGACTCTCTGTGAATGATACAGAGTGTATAGAGCAAAGATTAAGAAGCCTTTTCAACTAGACTGTTCATTGTTGTAGTGAGCTCAATCCTCAGTAGGTTCCTGACAAAGCTAAGATTAGTGATTCATAATAAAAGCATATTTCAGTTTTCTTGGGAACTTATAATATGGAGATTTAAGAAGCATGCCAGGAACAATAGTAGACATCAAGAATGTCTGACTTCTGCTCAACTCAATGCGATGCTACTGTCTACAGAATGGATCTTACTCTAAATAGATATTGTATTTTATCAAAGAGAGAGTGATTTTTTTTTCATAATAAACTGCCAGCCAATTATGGTAATTTTATTGGAAATGTTTCTTCATATACTAAAGGTATTATTAGTATTATTAACAGAAAGGGAGATATGTTGTATGATCTTAGATGTAAATATAGTAGAATTAAAATTAATAATAAAAAAAATAAGACTGATAGTGATAAAAAGCTGTATGAGAGTGGTTAAGTTAACATTAGACATCAAAATTTAAATTCAAATGCTAAGTTATTTGTTATTTTTAACATTTCGGTATAAACTGTAACTGGTATTGGATATATTTTTCCCAAACCTTTTTCCTCTTTTTATATATAAGTCTGATCCTATCAATCAAATTTATTTGTCTCAAGTTGTTCCTTCTCAGAATGAAATCACTAAAAATGTTTATACATTTATTCAACTCTGCCCTCCATGATTTTTACATATAAACTCTGCCTTGCTCAAAATTCTTTATCTACCTATATATTTTGTTTTGTTTTTTCATACTAATGCTCTTGGTAGAAACATAAATCCATCTTCTGAAAAGGGTGGATGATTATACACAATCTTTTACCATATAATCAAATAATTTTTGTGGGTAGTCTCCCAATTCAGTTCTCAATTGAACTGTAGAATCACCATATGTTGAAACTAACAGGAGTGCCCCCCTCCTCCCGATATATATGAAATAATGTTAGCTTCACGATATCTGCAGTATGGAGTCTATGATATAATGAAGCCACTGCATGAATATATTTGTTCAGACCTGTTCCAGTTCTGTCTATAAGTGATTTTTTTGTCTGCAACGTTTCCAATAAATGCTTAATGGAGTTTAAATATGGCAATTGAATATGGCCAACAGAGTATCTGGAAGTTAGTCAAGTTTTCCTGGAACCAGTTTTATGTCACCCATGCATGGTGGCAGGGTTCCATTATCTGGCTGGAACAAACCATTTATGCTAATAAACACGGTGAACATTAAGGGGTACAAATGATCTCCCAGAAGATTTGCTTATGTCATACACATCATGACATTCATGTTTCATTTGAACACACTACAGCACCACAATTTTATATAATATTTGCATATACGCATACACACTCACAGACAATCAACTTTACATACTTGATCATTTTTTAGACTTTTGCATGAACATATGCCCAGACTCTGTGTTTTATGTATTAAGTAATTTGTGTTTGCTTTCACATTGCAATAGTCCTGAGGAAGAAGCTGACTAAATGGAACCTCCTTTTTACCAATAGATTATAAAGGGAATGAAGAAAAGTTAACTCAGTGTACATGGTCTCACATGTCTTAGCTGTTAAGGTCTGAACTGGTGGAAGAGTAGAATGTACAAACATCTGACATGAAAATAGCAACAGAGTAGCTAGAGGCTAGTAATGTTTTGTCCGTGGGAAACGGGTTTGCAGAGTGGAAAACATGATTTTAAACCTAAGTTACCATGAACCAAATCTGGACTGAAGGCAAGAGCTGGGTAAGTGATGCAAGGTTTGACAAATAAAAATCTGCACTGCCAACTAAATAACAATACAGGAAAGTATTCAAGTATGTGCAGTAAGGTCCCCACTGATTGCCTGCCAATCAGGCTAATATCAAGACCACACAGCCAGTTCTCAAGATATTTAAAATATCTGGATTCTTTCCAGAGACACCTCTTATATCTTTTGAGCTAGAATTTTAAAATTAAATCTATAAATGATTCAGTGACGAATTCTCCCAATCTGTGTACGAATACATCAGCTTATCTAAATAGAACAGATTTGACCACAAATAAAAACTTGGAAACCTTTTTTTGCTGATATTGTCTGAGAATTTCTCATCAGTTAATTACTGTAAGTTGTCCATTTCTGTTGACAGAATTTGCTGCTTTGCTATTTAATTAAATCAGATTCCTATTAGAAATGCATCAGAATTCTGATAAAATTATCCTGTCTTTCAAAATGGTAATATCTTTGCACAAACATCCTATTGCATTGTCCTGGATTTAGTGTTGATGGTCTGTGTGACATACAACTGAATTATAGAAGTATTGAGGTGAAGTTATTCACTAGTAACCAAGACAGACATTGCAGTGGTTGCTTAGCAACCAGGTGGCCACACAGAAGGCATACATGTGTGCATAAGTGGGGAAGTGTTTATCTACACACTTCTTTCTGACAATTAACTGTGAAAAAAATGTATTTTTTCTGGAAAGAAAGTTTGTAATCAACTTTACTTTCCTCTCTTTTGGCTTTCTTTTATTTTTTACTCTTACTCTATCTTTCTCTCTCATATTTTCTTTTCTCTTTTCCTTATATTGTCTCTTCCTCCTTTTCTCAGCTTTTCTCTCATATTTTCTGTTATTCTTTTTCTTTTCTCTTTTCTACTCTTTCCTTTTACATTTTCTCTCACTTTTTCATATGATTTCTCTTCTTTTTGTCTGTCTATCCTCCCACTCTTACACTTTCTCTCTTTTTTTATATTTTCTCTACCACTTGGTTTCCTCCTCTCCCTCTTTTCTTTTATTTTTACCATGTTACCTCATATTTCCTTTTATTCTTTCTCTACCTCACTTTGTTGTATATTCCTTTTCTTTCTCCTTTTCTCATTTATTTTATTATCTTTTACTTTCTCTTTATCTATTTGTATTTCTCTCACAGTTTTCCTTCTCAATTCTCCTTCAACTCCAATATCACTTTTCCTTTTTTTTCATTTTAACACATTTTTGTTGTTTACCAAAGGTAGTTCACGACCAAAGAGAGAGAGAGAGAGAGAGAGAGCATCTTGTCTGCTTTGAAAATAGCATTCACTATCCTTGCCTTTCATCGGGAATTGAACGTGAATTTTTGGTGGTGAAAAAGCAATTATTTCAGCCACCAACTCATTTCTTTGTTTATTACTGTGAAGATAATTATATTAAAATGTCAGTTTAAATTGGGGAGATTAATTGATGAATCTAATCAAGGAAACCTTTTTTCTCTTTTCCAGGTAAGTGTGAATTTGCAGTTTACCTTTCAATTCAACCACAAGTTTGGATTTTACTTCCAGGACAAGTAAACTCTGTAAGTATGGATCTGGAATAATAATAATAATAATAATAACAATAATAATAATAAAACTAGCAGAAAATGAACATACCCACAGACAGGGAAATAAAAGCCAACAGACCAGATATTATCATAAAAGACAAGAAATTCAGGAAGTGTATGCTTATTGACATAACAGTACCATCTTAGAGAAACATCTCCATGAAAATTATTGAGAAATTGTTCAAATAGAAGGACCTGGAGATCAAGATTAACAGGATGTGGGGAATGAAGGCTGAGACGGTAACAGTAGTAATCAGAGTTCTCGGTCTTGTGAGAAAAAGAATGAACAATTTACCTAACAGTGTCCCAGGTAACAAACATCAACATACAAGTTGCCCAGAAGATCACCCTACTAGGAACATCCCATATACTAAGAAAAGTGCTACCAATTAAATGACAATTCTCCTATAGGGCCTAAGGACCATAGTTTGGACCCAGCTCTAGAAGATAGAAAGCAGTAAACATAACATACACAAATAATAATAATAATAATAATAATAATAATAATAATGATAATAATGATAAATGTCAAGTCTAACTTCATCAATACTACTAGAGTACACAGTTCCTGCTATTCATCTAACTTAATGATAACAAATAACTACAAAAACAGAATGTGCTTTTTTATTGACAGAGCAGAGTCCCTTCAGGTTGTAATATACCTTTTAAAATCTTCAAAAAAAACTATCAAAATACAAGGCTGTTGAAGTGGAAATCTGAAAAATATGGCACATGAGAACATCAATAATTCCAGTTGTAGTTGGAGTCCTTGGTTTGATTGGAAAAACTTCTGATAAACTTATTGATGGGATTCCTGTTAGCCAATGCCTTAAAGAAATACCCAAAATAGTACTCACAAGTACAACTCACATTATGAAGAGCCCAATCTATATAGAATCTGTGTGATCTTAGGGTGTTTTTTTACAAAAATGATTAGTGGAAAATGTCATGAAGCCATTTCTGACCCTAAATCTCTGGCTGGGACCCGGAAGGAAATGTGTATACAACAGATCAAAAGAAATAATAATAATAATAATAATAATAATAATAAAAGTTCAGACTGTCTTACAACTATATAAAAATGATGAAACAGGAGGTGAATTATTAAAAAAGCAAAAGCTAAAAAAATCAGACAAATGCAAAAAATAAGGGCCAAATTAAACCTCAAAATGAAATAAGGAAACACATCCTTTACATGCTTGCTACCCACTGTGGGCACAATATCCAGATGTTGACAAATATTTAACCCATCATTGGTTGTGTAGTTCTGGGTTGAAACTAGAAACTGAGAAATGAATTCAAGCTGTTCACGATCTAAGCCAAATAACAAGATCCCCCAGGCACATTTTAATGAACAAGACAGAACCAAAATATCACTTTTGTAAAAACATTGAAAAAAAACTATAACTATATAATATCTGGGTCCTCATACCCCAACCCCAAATGAATTTATATATAGACATTACAGGCTAGGAAAATACCTGCATAGAAAGACAAGCACAACTCTCTATCCATGCTAAAAGATGAAAATATTACATTATTCTGAGACTTTACTATACTTAACAACTGCATTATACAAGTCAGTAGTTTTATTTAATTGTTTTTTTATGACTTATCAACCCTTTGTGAGTTATTTAAAGCTGAAACCTATTTTGAATTGTAAGAATAATTTTTTTTGTGAGTGAATAGTTCATTAATAATTTCTTGAAGCTAACTATGATCTTTTCAGATGTAAGTTCTATGGTTGATCCATAGTTTTAGGAAGAAGAGATGAATTTATACATTGCTCAAGGCTACTAGTGTGTAAGTGAATGTAACATATTCAATTGAAATTTTGAACCCAGCTTTCTGATTTTTCATTCTGAGCCCCTTCCATCTGATAAAAACATCTAAAAAAAAAATTAATTTCACAGACTTTCAAATTATAAGAACTTGTAAATATAAATTGCAGGAAGGTGCCATTTAAACCTACAACCATTCTAATAATAATAACAGAGGCATCTGTCTATATTTCTGAGATGAGTTATTGTAACTATTTACACTATTTACATTGTTCTTACTGCTGTACTCATCTTTGTTGCCATACTCACAATGTTTTGACCATTGTACACTCTGACCTTCTTCAGGTGATTGAAATTTCAAACCGAACCCTTTATTTCATCCACCGGGGTAGATTGTTCTATTTCCATGTGCCATGCCTCTTTTGGATATCTCATTTTCAGTTATTTCCCTGAGTAACTCAACTCTCTTCTGTGGCAACTCGCAAAAGGCTAGGGAGGAGTGTGAACCAGATGATAGACAAACTTATCTACTCCTAATTGGTAAGGAAAAAAATAGTAATATTTAATGAATAAGATTTTAGATTTCAGGTGGTGATGTCAGATGTATAGAGTTGAAAGAACTAGAAGTCCAATCCTAAACATGAAACAAGGGGTAAACATCTACTCCTGTTCTAAAAACCAGGGAGGATTATGATGTACATGATATGCTAACCTATCTACTCTTATTGGGAAGGAGAAAATAAATAATTAATGAAAATATTCAGAGTACAGGTAGAGATTTTACAATTATAGAATTGAAGTAGATTTTAGAAGGAACCAGAAATCCAATCCTAAACAAGGAAAAAGGGATAAACCTTTACTCCTGTTCAAAAGACTGGGGAGCAGTGTGAACAGGAGAATAGATAACACTATCTACTTCTATAATACACTGTTAATGATTTTACTGTAGAAATTCAGAAAGGGACTGTCAGTGGTCAGGAATTAAGAGAAATGATACTGAAACACTATTTTCTAAATAATAATTATTCCACTGTTTTTCTCTTATAGTTTCAAACATTATATCTTTATTTCCCAGGATTATATAAGACTATTTATTTGCAATAAATTCTCAACTTTATACCAACTGCTTAATTAGCAGTTTTTAATTTTTTTTCAAATATTCCTTTAAAAATAGATATAAAAATACTTCCATGAGAGATCAATAATCAGAGATTAAAGCATAATTTGTATAAAATGTTATTAATTTCCCTTTTTTCTCTAAGCAGGAAACTTTAATAGATTCTAAAATATTGAAAAGTTGCTCTTATTAGCAGAAATTACAAAACTTCCCCCACCACTCCACAGCAAAAAAGGCCTTTTTTCACTGAGAAACTAATTTCATTGAAGTCACTTTTTACAAATATCAGGTATTTCTATCCTCTGCAATGGTATGATTTGATAGCTTCATAGATTTGTAACGCTAAGCTTTGTTAAGGATTGCTTTTGCAGCAATGATTACATTACATGATATGTGATTGGTTTAATTACATTGTTCGTTAATGATATGGCAAGCAAGAAAATAATCTTTAGCAAAAATACTAAGCTATGATCAGAAGAGGGTTTTAGTTCATTTTAATTAATTAGCTAATTAAATGTTTTAATTTCTAATTAAGAGACTAAAACATTTTTTAGTTTTTTTCTTCTTTAAAGGTTTTTCTTTATTAGGATAAGTTTTGTTTTTGCTTCATCCTTGAAACCTAACTTCTTAACAAATGCAAATAAAAAAAGGCAAAAAGAAAATATAACCAATCAATTTTTCAGCCATTAGATTTCATTCCAGGAAATTCCAATGAAAGAAGCCGATTCAGCTGAAATCCATATTTCATATGTTGTCAGTTTAACATTCAGGGATGACATCTCACTATCAGATATTCTGACAAAGCAGAGTTGGGATATATATATATATATATTATTTTTGTAATCATTTCACCCCATGCAAGGCAGTAAAGCCAGTAAGACACAAGGGGTTACTGAGAGTGAAAAAATAGGAAAAAAAATGAAGACATTATTAAGGGGCGAGAACAATAGAAGTGTAGACATGAAGACAGTAAATAATGATTCCAGATAAGAATCTGGAACAGAGTTCCACAAGCACAAAGTACGAGAGAAGAAACGGTTAAAAACAGACTTACAGTTACATTTAGCCAATTCGACTATAAAATGATGAAAACTTGCCACCAATCTAGTTAAATTCATAAAGTCTAGGTACAATAACAAAGTGTTAACCTGAAAAATTACCATGAAGATATTTCTAGAAAAGATACAAGGAAGCTAGATTATGGTGGTAGGAAAATGACTGAAGCTGAGAGTCAGGACTAATAATTCTTCTTCGGATTTTATCAAGAATCTCTAAATATACAGCAGGTGCACTGGGCCATATGTGGCAGCAATTTTCAAAGCATGGGTGAATGGTAGACTTATAAATATGTGAGATAAATTCTGGAGAAAGCTTCTTCCTTGCTTGAAAATCAGCATTAGAGAACGAGGCTTTAATAGAAACTTGTCTGTCAATGTCTGGCACTAGTAACAGATATGAAAGAGCCCCAGGTCAGAGAAAAGAAGAAGCAGTTTGGAGTCAGTCTTCAGACTAAATAATACAGACATCAAAGCAAGTTGCTGAAACATTAGTTATATTATAAGCACTACATGATGAGGGATTTGAAACTCAGGCAATTTATAAGCATCGTGATGATGATTCGGAACTCTTATGACTTATAGCAGTAATCAGGAACTTATATGAGTTGTGACTATACAAACTAGTACATAACTATAAAGAGCTCCAGGTCAGAGGAAAGAAGAAGCCGTTTGTAATCAGACTACAGACTAAGTAAT